TGGCCCCCTCTGCCTGCTTAACTCCAGTTATGTGAATAAAATAAAGATGTATTTGATCTTTTTTTGGAAGTGTTTGCACTCTCTCTCTGGAATACAAAAATAAATAAAACCCTGCACTGTGGTAGCTGTGTTCTTCTGCCCCTGCCCCAAGACAACTGAATTACTTAAAACAAATTTTTTAATATCTGAATGTTTTTTCTTTAAACTCATTCAAAATTTCATTCTGTTCTGCCACCTAACATACTGCATTGGAAATATCTGTGGGATTTCCTGACTTTTAAAGAAAAATACAGTTTCGGTCTTCAGAGACTTTACTTGAGGTGGGTGGGCAACATGCAGATTTTAAAAAAAAACAAAAGAAATTATTCAACTTTGACAATGATGCAGGGAGCAAGCATGGATTGCCTTCCTCTACGTTATTTCTGCAGTTTCAGAGTATTTAAAAAGAAAATTAAATTAGCTTTGGATCAAAAATCAGATGTTACTGTGCAGAGGAAAACAAGAAACAGTGTGACTCAGTGCAGCCCTTACAGTGTCCTTGGCCTGGCCTGAGGGGTCTTTGTACTATCGAAATTTCCAGATTTTTTTTTTTATTTTATTTTTAAATCTTAAAAAGTGAACCAATCCTGAGGAAATGTCTAGCCCTGATCAGGCTGGTTTGTGAACTGAGGTCATGCTGTGTAAAAGCTGCACCACAGGTGAATAAAGCCCCACTTCCCCAGTTGACCTAACTCTCCACCTGGACCAGAAAAACATGTTTGTTAGTAACACCAGAAGTGAAACCCCAGACACTTGGTAAACTCTTAATTTATCACCAACACTGCTGCCTATTTTTTTGCAGACCTGTCCCAGCACAGAGCTGTGTGGCCACTCCACCTAGAGAAAGTCTCTTCCTGGAACTATACAACAACAACAAAACAAAAAAAAACAAAACAAAAAAACAAAACAAAAAAAAACAAACACAAAAAAACAACAACAAAAAAAAAAAGCCATCCTGACATTGATAATTCCCTGGAGGAGCAATTACTACTTAACAGGCTTCCTGAGCAGCTGATTATGTTCTGCTTCTGTCCAAGGCCCTGCTGACCATGTGGATAATAATTTGATGACAAGGGAGCCTAATTAAATTAAGGGGCCATTTTCTACATCATAATATATTTGTAGGCAAGAGATTTGATCTGCAGAACATGATCTTCCTTCTCTCTGCTGTCTGCGTTACAAGCAAAAAAAAAACCATCACCCAATCTCTACCCCCGAACACTTTCACTTTTCATACAGCATTATCAGAAAGGAGTTTTGCTGAAAATAAACATATATCCTGGCTCCCTTCTCCCCTCACTGCAAAGGGGCTGCAGTGCTCGTGCTCTGAAAGGTCAGGGTGACACCCTGGGAGGACGAGGGTGGCACCAGAGCAGTGACCTGGTGACAGTGCAGGCATTAGGCTGCCTTCAGCCCAATCTTTTGGTAAAAGAGCCAGACTCAGTCTGCACAGTCCCACCCTTGGGACCCACAGCCCACAGCCCAGCTGTGTGTGAGCATCCTCCTCCTCCCCGAGTGGCCCACAGAGCACAAGGCTCCCAGGGAACAGAGCAAGAGGCACAGCAGCCTCCCAGATAACAAAGTGTAACATGACACATTTTGCTAGAGGAAAAAAACCCCACAACTAAACCAAAGCAGGTTTTGACCTGGTAACACCAAGCCCTGGTGCTTAAGCCCAGGAAATGCTGTTGGCAGCAGCCCCCTGGGGAAGGGGAGCTGTTTGGCTGCTCCGAGCACGACGCGTTGTGTCGTATCATAACCGCCCTGACCACACCTAGTGAGTGCACCAGTCCTGCACACACACCCCGGTACTCCCGGCTCCGGAGCGGATCACAGCGGGATCAGCCCACAGCACAAACCCCCTGGAAGACAGAAATCCAAGGGACAGCTGCAGAACAGAACTAGAGAGAAGCAGGACCTTGACGCACTCGAGCCTGGGTAAGCAGTTCATTTCTTTATCGGTATCTCTCCAGGTAACCAGAAATCCCGTAAAGCCCGTGGATAGAAAACTTCAGTGCCTTGAACAACGGGGAAACCACGGCTGCTTTAAAAATGAAATAATTCCTATAGTATATACATGTGCCTGAGCTTAGAATGAAATGACTGAACTCTTTAACAACAGCAAAAAGTGAACTCTATCAGAAGACCCCTTTAAAAAACATTCTAAGTGACAGGATGAGAATTCAGTTTACTTTGGCTGGCTTTAGACCGCTTAGAAGAGAAATAATCCTTTTGGGTTTGCTTTATCTTAAGTCTCATTTTAAACTCCCTTTATGTGCTTGACCAAGAGCGTAGATATTTTTCAGCAGGCACAGTTGTGATCAAAATTTAAAAGAACATGTAAATCAGAGAGATGATAGAATTTTTTAGGTGGGTCTTCACACCTAAAGACCCTTCACACCTGGGTCTTCACACTTAAAGACCCTTCACACCTGGGTCTTTAAGTCTAAGGAGCCAACGACTTTTGTGAAAGAGTTTGGATTTAATTTTAAACTATCAAGCAATTACTTCCAAAGCAAGTGTAAGTATGACTTTAAAATAAAGCTATAAGATGAATTCTAAAGCGTTTTACCCTATGTCTCCCATTTAAAGGTTATTTTTAACGTGAGATATAAATATTTGCCTGTTCAAACTTGTATTTAAGCCTCAGTTTTCGTCATTCTTAAACAAAAGGCTCAGTTTGTGCCAGTATTTCCATTAGATGCAATTATAGCATTAAATATTAATGGTGGCTTCCTTGGAGGAATTGACCACTTTGATCAGAACACGCTGTTGGTAATGCACCATCAGTGGCCACTCTGATCCTGAAGCTTCCTGGATACCCAGCCACTGCCCCAGGGGAAAGATTCCAGGAGCCAGCTGGACTCTGTAAGAGCCTCTGGCCTCACCCACACAGCCGTGCCCGCGGCCTGTGTCTGTATTTCCATCTGCTCTGTTAACAGTCCTAACTGGGAGACTTTGATCAGATTCCAAACTCTCTTTCAACACTGCACAGCTTGGGAGGACTCTGAACAGGCACACGAGTCCCACCAGACACTAACAACATTCCAGGTGGACATCAACCCTCCTGAGCACAGGGTTTCTCCCCACGGCAGAGCCACTGGGGAGAAACTGTGAATTACAGTCTCCCTGCTCGGGAAGACTCACCCTGTCCCTGTGCTTACAGGCCAGGGAGGAGCAGGAGCATCCAACCCCAGGGATCCTACCTGCCGGAGAGCGCGATGCCGGAGTCCTTCGCCATCCACGTCCTCAAGGTGCTGAAGGAGCTGCTGGCCTTCGTGCTGTTCAGCTACACGGTGCTGCTCGGGGCACTGCTCCTCGCTGGCTGGACCACCTACTTCTTGGTGCTCAAATGAGGGCTCTGCTCCTGCTCTTGCTCCTGCAGCCACCGGCTTTCCAGAGGCAACCAGCTCTGCAGTGCCCGGCACACGGGATGGACAGCCCTTCTTCCCCCTGCGCCAAACCTGCAAATGTTTTGTGTCCTTACAGCCTCACCACAACCTTATTTTCTTATGTAAAAACAATAAAGATTAAAAGAAAAGGTATCCACCTGCATGCACTTTGCTGATCTTTTGCAGCTCTTGCAGATTCTTTGTGTCTCCCTGAAATGTTTAAAAGCCTCCCAGCAGTTTTCTCCTGAGACTCCCACCCTGTCTAAAGAGGGACAGGAGGGATGCAACACAATTCCAACACGACCAATATCTCAATAAACAAGTCCTGCCTTGTCCAACTCTGCCTAATTAAGGGTGTGAAGGCAGAGAGACAGAAATTACTTGTCAGTTTATTTAGAAGTCCTGGAAAAAGACCTTCCAAACCAGTACAAGGTTTCCGTCTCCCTACTGTTTTGTGAGGTACAGGGGCAAGGAAAGGGCAAACAAAGGAATCAATGTTCATGGGCTACAAGTTCTCTTATTAATTAGTATTCTGTCTTCTTTTGGTTAATGATTCTCTTATTTCTCATGTGAATTAGTGCCATGCTCAGTCATTCTCTTGTTTTGGGTCTGGGGGTTTGTTGGGTCGGTCAGAGTCACCTCTTACCCCAGTGGAGCCGGTTTCAGCCCAGCTGCTGATTTGGGTTTATTAGTCTCTTCCTTGTCTTGGGGGTTCTTCCCCATGTGTTTGTGGCCCATAAATTCTGCATTCCCTGTGTCCACCATCAGTGGAGATCCTCCTCCTCCTCACACTTTGTTAACCTGCCCCAGGTCTGAGATCACTGAAGCATGTCCAGCCCTAAACCTTAACAAGGCAGTTCTACCCACAAGTCATTTGTTTTTTTAACACCTGGACACCACTTAGAGCTTGTGTGCTGCTCTATTTCAGAGATTAAATCTCCTTTCTTGCCTGAGGAAGTTAAAGGTTGGACATCGGGGATCTTAAATTTCTGGTTCTTCAAAGACATGTTGGAGTAACCAGAAGATACAAAGGGGATTAAAAAAGACATTACAACCTGAGAGTTGGAGACTCTCTGAGGAAGAACGATAAGAGGTCCAAAGAATGCGGACCAAAATAGCCAATAAACGATAGAACACTAATTAAATTAAGGGAATGGTGTGACTTGGAACCAAAAATTAAAATGTTAAAGTGGATAAGCACGTGAAAAGCCTTAAAGGGGATGTATCTGCCTGGAACGACTCGCTACGCATCTCCGGCCAGAATAAAGCAATGCCTGGCTCACTAACACTTTAGGAGGAGGTGCCGCAGGGTTCGGTTCCTCCCCGACGGCCGCCCCTCACTCCGCCGTCCCTCGCTCCCTCCGCCGCCCTCACGACCCCGCACGCGCCGCTCCCGCCCCCGCCCCCGCCCCGCCGGGGCCCCGCCCCCGGTGACGTCACCGCGCCGCGCGGCGGGCGGCCCAAGATGGCGGCGGGCGGGCGGTGGCTGCGGAGCTGCTGCTCCGTCCTCAGGTACCGCGGCGGGGCCGGGCGGGGGGGACGTGCTGGGACAGCGCCCGCAGCGCCAGATGTGCTGCCCGCACAGCGCGCGCAAGGAGGAAAACCGACCGGTCGTTTTTCAGGAAGGTTGCTGCATAACAAAGAAATGCTCCCTACTCCCGTGCTTTTCCTTTCTTTTTCTGCTCGAGTGTTTCGGTGACAGGCCCTGGCCCTGGGGAGACATTTGCACGGCATGGGATGTAAAGAAAACTGGCCGCAGGAGGTCCGAGTGTCGCTGGATTGTACCATATTCCCTGTCACATTTCTCGCCTACATGTACCGAACACCAGTTTCAAGCATGTTTTTTAACCTGATTTTCAGTATTACTGACTACCAGCAGTGTGCTTATACCAGATAAGATTTCCTCTCTTAACAGTGCACTAGTTACTGTTCCTGTCTTATTTTCTTGCACTTAAGTAACAATAATTCAGTAATAATAATTAAGTGACAGTACAAAATTTGAAACAAGCTTACCCACTCACTGTTATGCAGCTGCATTCCAGAAGCCTGGTACGGACTAGTTCCCCTAGAACAGCTTCTAGGGGTTGTTCTCCTCTTAGATCCCTGTTCCCCAGCAGACACAGGTTATTTCTTGTGCTAATCTTTTCCCCTTGCATTTCCAGGCACGCTTTCCCAGTCCTGGCCAGTGTGAGGAGACGAGGCCTCTCGGGTGCCAGTGGCCGGTGGCACCAGGCCCTGGGGCTGGGGGTGGCCCTGTGTGCTGTCCCTGTTGTGGAGGTAACGTGGAAGGGGGGCACCCCCTCCCTGGGAGCAGTTAAATGTTCAAAAACACTTGTTTAACCTTGTACAGACCTGTTCTCACCCTGGAATTGTATCCTCTGTGAGCACTTGGCTCATAAAGAGCAGTGAGGCTTTCCCTTAGCTTTGTCTTTAACTAATATCCATATGGAAGTGGATGTAAAGGTCATGGAAATGCCTTGTGTTGCAGCAGCAGGGATCAGTGTCCCTCAGTAACGATGCCCTGATCAGAAGAGCCGTGTCCCTGGTGACAGACAGCACGGCCACCCTGCTGTCCCAGACCACCTATGCCCTCATCGAGGCACTCACAGAGTACACAAAGGTGAGCTGAGAGAACACACACCTGGCACCAGTCACTGCTGGAAATACTGAATGATCTGGCACTAACTACGCCTCTTAAACCGTGCTCAAAGTGGACTTCTAAAAATTAATTTAACCGAAGGGGTGTGGGGTTGAAGATGTCGGGTCCCTCAGAAGCCATGGGATCATTGTTTGACACCAGATGTGGAAATTACTTTTAGCTTTGTTAAATTGTTGTAGCTTTGTTAAACTGTTGCTTTTGGGTTAAATTGATAGAATCATAGAATGGTTTGGGTTGTAAGGGACCTTAAAGATCATCCTGTCCCACTCCCCTGCCATAGGCAGGGACACCTTCCACTATCCCAGGTTGCTCCAAGCCCCATCCAGCCTGGCCATGGACACTTCCAGGGATGGGGCAGCCACAGGTTCTCTGGGCAACCTGTGCCAGGGCCTAACCACCCTCACAGGGAAGAATTTTTTCCAGTATCCAACCTAACCCTTCCCTCTGTCAGTTTGAATCCATTCCCCTTGTCCTTCACTCCATGCTCATGTAAAAAGTCCTTCTTTTTACTTAAGCCAAAATGACCCTGAAATGCAGAACTGGGGCTGAAGAAACTCATAACAGTTATTTCTATTTACCTGTGTACTGAGTTCTCTATTCCTGGGTATTTTGTTTCCCTTCTCTGCCTTTCTAAGGCCACCAACTGAGTTTCATCAGAAGAATGGTGTGAGCCATGTTTAAGCCTGAAACAAGAAGATATGGTTTTAATTTTATAAATAAAGTGCCAATTTGAGTAAAGTATTTGCATTCCAGTTTATGCCCTTATTAGTACAGCAAGTACACGAAGAGTAATTTTGTGAGACAGCATCAGAGCTGTGCAGACTGTGTGAAATGATTCCTCTGCAGGCAGTTTATACCCTGGTGTCTCTCTACAAGCAATACTCAAATCTTCTTGGGAAGATGAACTCAGAGGAGGTGGATGCAGTGTGGCAGGTGGTCATAGGAGCCAGAGTTGATGTGAGTGGCCACTTCCCTCACCCTCTGCCTCTGAAAACCCTGCTCAGAACATTCTGATCTCTCTCACCGTTTCACAAGGGTGGGAGAGCACTTGGGGGTGGTTACACCTCGTGAAATAATACCTTGTTTTCCTCCCAGGTGAAGACAAAGCAGCAGGAATACCTGAGGCTGGAGTCCAGCTGGATGACGGCGCTGCGCCTGTCGGAGATGGCAGCAGAGGCTGCCTATCAGTCAGGTGAGCCCTGACACTTCCTTTCCCCTTTTCCCTTATTCAATGAGAACAGAGTTGAGACACACAGAATATTCATTCACTTAACTTACCAATCCACAGCTCCTGCCTGGTTTTTAGAGGGGCTGAGAACTTACATTCTTTTTTTGGCTGTGAGTCTGTAGAAGCGTTCTGAGAACTAGGCTTGGAAACTTCACATGTGGTTTAGGTCAAGACCAAAGGCGACCAAAGGTATTTGAGGGAAGAGTTTAGTCATTTTTAAATGCAGGTTCAAACATGGTTGAGGGAGCCACAGAAAAAAGGGGTCCAGCAGGGCTTTCTAGCTGAGTTCAGTTGTATTAAAGAAAGAAAAGATACTAATTTTGGTCTTTTCTCTGTGTAGAGATTCGATAGCTCTGAGATTGAGTTACGGGCTGGTTTATGGTAAACTGGCAAAGTTACTGGCGTGGAGAAAGGGAGGAAAGCAGTGAATATGCAGGGACACCCTAACTCTGGAAGTGCCTGAAAAAGACACAGAATCTGGAGGAGAATGGAAGGAGAAGGGATTCCATGTTCAACAGGAATTCCTGCTGCTGTAGGTGTCAGGACAGGACAAGGACTGAAGGGTCCTGGTACACAAGGACTGGGCTAGGCTTAGTTCTCAAACCCACTGGCACAACCTGATCACTCTGATCCAGCTCCAGCTGTATCCCAGTGGGGTGGGAGAATTCAAGGGAGCAATGAAATCTCAAAGCAGACAAATTGTTTGAGGTAAATGGACAGTAAATGCATTGAGCATTAATGCATCCCAAGAACCATCCAAACACAGCAAAGCAGATGCTAATTGCAGTCATTTCCTTAACTGAAGGTTTGCCCAGTGCCCCTCTAACCCAGTATTTCAATTCTTACCCCCAGGAGCAGACCAGGCCTCGGTGACAGCCCGCAGCCACATCCAGCTCGTGAAGTCACAGGTACAAGAAGTGAAGCAGCTGTCCCAGAAAGCAGAGACCAAATTAGCTGAAGCTCAAACAGAGGAGCTCATAAAAGCTCAAGGAGAGGAATCTTCGTTGCCACAGGGTATTTTAGGAAATATAGATGCAGGTGATGACCCTTACCTTCGGGAGGACTGAACAGAACTGAACTGTAGCATATCTGGGAGTCAATCACAAATTGAACAGTCCCAAACTTTTGTGTGGGATAGTCTAAAACTGCTGAAATAAGCCCGTGATTCCATTTTTTTCCCCAAGCAGGATTGCTGTAGAAATCAAGTCACTTCCAGGTATTTGGAAGGCCTCCACTTTGTTTGTAACTTACCTTGTTTGTCATACTTTTGGATTCATTTATTTAAACGTTTATCTATGCAAATGTGAAGACTGCTATCAAGGACAGCCCGGTGTTAATTGTGTCTCTGCTGGGAAGTTTGATGTGTCTGTGGGAGCTCATTAGGGATCAGCCAAAGAAGTGTATTTAAAGAACCTTGGTTTTAACCTGTGAAGTAAATGATGTGTGTGAGGAGATGCCTTTATTAAACTGTGCAAAAGCATCTCATTGTGAAGGTGCCCATTTGGGTGAGAGATTAAGCCCTGTTTTCTGTTTGAACTTCAAAGTTTTTAACGTCTGAGTTGACAGCTGCACCAAATTCCACTGAGCTGCAGTCGGGGGAAATATTTGCTGTAGAGCTGAGAACTTTCCATGGAGTTACTCAGGCTCTTGGTGAAGTTTTGCAGTTCAGCACAGCATCCTCTGTCACCAAAGAGTCACCACACCTCGGGAGGTTCCTCAGGAAGCAAAAGGAGGTTTGATTTTCAAGATAATGTGGTTATAAACAAAATTATTTTGGTAACTTCCGTGGACTTCTTTACAAGGCAGTGAGTAAAAGAGTTTTACCTATTTGAATGCTTTTGAGCACAAGCTTCAGGAAATAATCCGAATTCTCTCTTTCACAAACTTAATGTTTCACTTCAGATTTCAAAACCACAGATGTCTTTCACTGTGCTCATTTTCTAACTTCACAGCTAATGGGAAATTGGTTTTGCAGAACAGCATCCACTAGAACTTTATCACTGCTGATTGGAATCAGGTTTTGTAAAAAACACACATTATTCACAGGTTTTTCACAACGAATTACCATCTGATGCACTGCATCAAGGTGGCTGTTACTAAATTGAGGAGGAATTTTCTGTAGCATAGATTGTCTCATTTTGCCTGCCTTTGGAACAAATGCAATCTCAGCTGCACAGCACTGTACATTTATAGATTAAGTAGTAAAAGAATTAACAAACCATCTTTCCTTGCTGCTCACTGGGTGCTGCTGTATCCAGGGAGGATGGCACAGTCTGGAATTCAGCCCACAGGGAGCTGCCAGTGTCTGATCTGCCAGGAGGCCCCAAACTCTGCTTCGGGTGGGAGCATGAGGAAAAAAGCCACTATGACGAGAGGATTATTTGAGCAGTGGCACAGCCAAAGCCTCAGGAGCCAAATGCACCCTCAGGTCAGCCTCTAACCACAACTGCTCTCATTTGGTACCTGCTGCAGTTGGAGAACATCTGCCAAGCCCCTGACCCTAGTGCACACACAAGCTGTGTTTTTTCAGGGTGCCACAGTAACTCCACTCTGATGTTTGCGTGGCAGAGACAGGGTTTAAGGCAGATGAGCACTGCCAGGAGTCTGCAAAGCCAGCAAACTCCCTCTTCCCCTTTTTTTCAGAGCCTGCTCCCAACCCTGTTGTCACCCCACTTCTCTTTTCACTGCATGCCCTGCTCTTCCCAAGAGCTGTTCCTACACACATCCAACCTGACAGGAACCAGCCAGTCAGTCAAAGTGGGAGTGAGGAGCATGGAATGGCTCCACATCACCTCCAAAACGGGGCAGAAGGGACTCCCTCACCCTTTATTAGGAAGTGAGAGCTGCCAGCTGGGGATTAGCCCATACACCTAAACCCACAACAGACATGACATCACGCTCTCTGTTCCTGAGTTTGCACTGGGAATCATTGAGTGGATCAGAAAAATGCTGGCACAGCAGCTCCCAGGGCACCACGGTACCCGCCCTGCCCGATCTCTTCTCCAGGACAAGCAGCAGCCCCTGTCTGTCCTACAAGCAAAAACCTCCTGGATGCACTTCCCAGGCACCTCTGAAAGCTCCAGCTCCCATCTGGTGGGGTGAACACTGGGCAGCTGGCACCGGAGACAGCAATTACAACAGCACAACACAAATGGCTCTGGCTTCTATAATCACATACTTCCTCTCCACTCACTATATTTTTTTCCTAAAGCTTCCAGGCTGCTTCCTTGCTCACACACAGCAGAGCAATTCTGCTCTAGCAGCAAGACACCCTGGCACTGAGAAGTTTCACAAAAGTATCACCAAATCTTAGTTCCATATTTGATCTTTCCTCAAATTAGTAGCTCCAGCACATTCAGATTAATCACTTTCATATCAGTGCATCTTGACAGGGCAGAGACCAGCAGCTGCTCACAGGAAAGGAAGTGGCAAATACCCATTTCCACATAATGACTCCTGAATGCAAACACCCAGCACCAGATTTCAGCCTTCCCTGGCTTTTAGGGCTCTTAGCTTTCAGGAGACCCAAGAATATTCCTGTGAAAACACTTTTCAAAACTGTATTTTATTTGTACCCACCTTTACAACAACAAAAAACCAAACACCTCCCACACAACATGAGACACTACAGCCACTCTTCCTACCACTGTGATTATTCAAGATACATTGCTCCTCTCACACCTGATCAGAAAGTCTTTGTGCAAAAGTTTCCAGTGCAAGTAAACCTATAATGACCAAAAGGCTTGAGTCAGAGCCCAGTCCCTTGGATCATCATCATTGCTGTGTTAAGGCAATACATTTTTGAAGATTTTTCTTACCCACTCCACTCCCTTTCTCCTGCTGTCCAGCAGAAGCTGTGGGATTGCTGCCCTGGACAGTGGACCAAGCAGCACACACTGGCCTTTCTTCCACCCCTTCAAGTAATTTCAAGTCTCTGTCACTCGTTAAGTCATCACTGGCCTCCCTACATGAGCCTGAATTTGGCCGGCGGTCAGACACCGGTGTTGTGGAGCCTCCATAGCAGGTGACCCCTCACTCACATTCCCACGGCAGTTGTGACTTCCCCTGGCTCCCATCCAGCTGGGAAGAGCTGAGCCAAGTCCCCCGTGCTGTGTCTCACCACCCCCACCCTGTGACAATTCAACTGCTTCATGTAACCCCCCGACAGAAAATGACTCACTGCAAACCAAACCCTGACGGCTCCAGCGCAGTCTGTTAGTAACGGACACGGTTCTACCACAACCTGATTTTTAGTTTAGTACCCTGTGTCTGCCACCAGTCACAACCCCGCTGGGCTCAGCGGGAGCTTCTTTTCCACTGACACCGCACACCGAATGCTGTCGTCCCTCACCAGCGTCCACATGATCCACATCTCCGTGGGGTTGAGTTTGTGCACAATCATCAGCCCTTTGTACAAGCACGGATCAAAAGCATTGAAAGGTCTCTGGATCCCAAAAGTCTTAAAGCCAGGGTGGTTCTTTGGGGTCACGGACATCTTCGCCAGACACATTCCCACAAACACATCATCTATCGGGAAGAGCTCCGTGCCCTCTGCGGTGCTCTGGAGGCGACGCACGGTCTCTCTAGACATCACATACCCCCCTCCTCCTGCATAGCGAGGATAGAAGGAGGCTCCATACATGGCCTCTGGAACAAAGTATTTGACCTTGGTGTTCCTGATGGGCCGGGCGTTGGCAATCACATCCCCAACAAAGAGATCCTGTTCAGGGTCAAAATCTTGGAGGAACTCAATGATGTTGTAAGTGTTGACGAACACGTCATCATCGCCCTTCAGCACAAACCTGGCGTGCAGACAGTCCTCCATGAACCAGCGGAGGAAATGCAGCTCCTTGAGGGTCAAGTTGAAGAAGTTGTCAATGAAATCCCACTGCAAGATGTCACCAAACTCCTGGCTCTCATAAGCCAGCAGCTGGTGCAGGGGCGGCACCTGGATTTTGGCCTCTGAGCGCCCCAGAAGGAACACCAGCCTGATGTTCTTGCCCCTGATAGAGACCTCCTTTCCCCACGTGTTCCTGATTGCCACTCTCTGGTCCACGTTGATCGGGGAAGACTTGATGGCCAGCAAGAGGAACAGCTCTTTGTTACACCTGGGAGGCTTCAGCAGGACTGGGAAGCTCCGGCAGTGCTTGTACGTTAAGAAGACGCGGTGAAGCTCTGGGAGAGCGAGAGAGGAATTGGCGAGGGTCAAGTTCGGCAAACACTTGGTGGGTTCAGCGTTGTCCAGAACCAAAGACTTCGGTTTGTGACTCACTACATCCATTTTCTGGTCCGCTGACGATTCCTCCAACTTTGCCTCTTTCCTCAAGTAAAACACGCAGGCGAGCAGCGTGATGGAGAAGGTGTAAAGGGCGAGGTTCCTGATCCTGGGATACATGGCAGCCTCCGGCACGGACCGGCCCCGGGCAGAGGAACACGAGCCCTTCGCTCCCGGGGTCTCCGCGGGCGCGGACGGGACGCGCCGGTCGTTCCCCCCGGACGGGGCTCGGTGTTTCCCCTCGCCGGGTCCCAGTGCCGCCGGCGAGGGCGGGAGCGCTGCGGCCGCTCCGGAGCTCCCGGCCCCGCAGACCGGGCTGGAGCCGCCGCTCCGCGGTGCCCCCGGCACGGCCAAACCCCCACCTCGCTCTGCGGAGCCGCCGCCGCCTCACCGGAGCTGCCCCGCCCCGCTCCGCCCCTGCCGGCCCCACCCGTGGGCGGAGGATGCGGGGGGCTGGCACTGGGCAGCGTGTCCCGGGCACCGCACACCGGGCACCGCACACCGGGCACCGCACACCGGGCACCGCACACCCACCCTACACCCCGAACGCACCCCCTCACCTACACTTCGCACTCCACACCCCGCACCAGCCCCCGCCCACCGCAGCTCCGGCAGAAGCTCAGCAGCAGCCCCAGACCACCACAAACCCAGAGGGATCTCCCAGCTCTGGCGATTCGGCTCAACCAGGATCCAGGCAGCGTTCCCGTGTGGTTTATTTCTCACCCGCCTATGGACACGTTACTGGGTTTTCTCCACTGCCACGGCCTCGTTCTCCTGGCTCTGGGCACTGACTGCAAAGGGCCACCGAAGCAGCTGCATCTGGAATTGAACTGTCAGTGGCACCGGCTGGAGCTCTTGACCTTCCTCCAGCTCAGCAGTGTCTTTGTTTTTTCCTTTTCCTGTGGAAAGAAGTAAATTTGTCACTGTCTTGAGATAGTAAATCACCCTGAAAGCAGCGGCGTGCAGGGGGACTGCCCCTGGTGTCAGCACTTAAGGGAAATCTATTTGAATATGACTTCGGGTAAGAAGCCCAAAAAGCATCTTTAGGCAGGCAACTGATCTGGGTGCAAGCTACTTATTTGTTGTTAAATTCCCCTAGGACAAAAGAAAGATGCAGAAATAAACAATTTCAAGGATCCTAGAAAATCGAGTGCGAGGTAAAACGAGACGTACGTGAGACTACTTCTGAAGACATCCTTCAATGTCTGGGCAAACTGTTCACTTGAGACAAAGCTCGCTGCCTTTCCTCTTTGAGCCGTCTGGAAGTGATCCCAATTCCTCTGAGAGGACTTATTATTTGTGTGCATTTGCTGACTGCGGGATGCAAATCAGCCTCAGCTCCCGGCTGGGAGAGAGCTGGTCCCTGCACAGCTTGCTGGACACGGGGCTGGGAGCCGTCCCCGGGGATTGGAGTGAGTGTGGCCACTGCTGCCACTTCAGGGTGGTACGTGGTGTCCAGGGGATGAGCCACGGTGCAACCTGGTGACTCACAGAGCAAGCAGGAGGTGCAGACACATCCAGGATGTGCAGAGGTGCTCGAGCTGCCCACCCCAGCCGCAATCGGGGTGCTCCTGTGAGTCACATCGGAGCACGTGGCCACAGCACACGGGGTGTAGCAAGCTGGGGGGGGGGGGAGCTCATTTTTAGGCACTGTGAATTTTGCATTCACACTTTGAAGCATGCACTTGGTGGCCCTGCAGTGCAGCCAACCGGCCTCCACCTGCACAGGCACACGGGGACACCAAATTAAGCAGGAGCCTCTAATCGCTCTGGGCTTCCTGTGTCAGCTTCTGTGCATCCAACACCATCTCCGGCCACACAACCCCCACAGAAAGGGTTCACCCTCGTTCAAGCTGAAAGGAAAACCTCCTACTGACTGCAGGACTGGGGTGGAGAAAGGAAGAAACACCAGTGCTGAGCTTCAGCTGTTCGACAGCAGCTGCCTGCTCTGCTTCAGTAACAGTCTGAGTGTATATTGCAAATATATATATCTTGTGGGGAACAATAATTCAAGGAGTTTTCTTCTTTTCAGGTAGCTGGGAAGGCCACAGGTTTCCTCTAGGGCAGACACTACAGGGCTCTGAGATCTTCCCCAAAGATGGGGACCTTGCTGTGGGTGATGGGGCACAGAAATCAGCCTAAAGCTCTTGGGAAAGGGGGTTAATTGCGCTCTTAAATCTGATGCCAGAGCAGGGAAACAGAGCTCCTTTGGTAGCTCGAGTGGTGCTGGGGAGGCCTGGCCCTCTCCACGCTCTCACTGACCCATGAGCAGCAGCTTTTCAGCATTGCCTGACCACCCCTTCCCTCCCCCACTTCCTCCTGCTCTTGCATTACCCCTCCAATGTGCTGTCACTGCTATTTTTGCAGTCAAAACCAAGGAAAAATAACCTGCAAGAGGCAGGGTGAGTTTTATCTCCAGTGGATTAAGCAACACTGCTGGCTGAGCAGCCTGTGAGCTCTGTATGGGGAGGCAGGGGACACCCGTTGGGGTCAGGGCGGTCCCTTCATGGGTAACAGCAGACTGGGGTCTGTTCCCAGCCCTGCCATGGGACACACTGGGGCTCTCTGTGCAGCTCATCTCCAAGCCAGGAAGAACAATAATCCCCTCTGCAAAGTGCTTTGAGATGTGAGTTGGAAATGGATGAGGAGCTTATCATGTGTCCCAGGCAGCCCTCCCCCTGCTGCCCACGCCAGCCCTCACACTGTCCCCATTTGGCAGCCGACACAGAGGGCAGCACATTTCTCACCCAGAAATCTGCTGTGCCCTTCTCCCCTGGCACACGGTGCTGGTGGGTGTGTGTCTCTCCCAGGGCAGCCAGCAGCCCAGCCTTGGTCCTTGTTCAGACACTGATTCATAAGGTGTCCAGGCATGTGTCCATCCTGACAGCCCCACAGTCAATGTCTGCATTCACAGCCTGAGGCTCAGGATGTAAGTCCCTGCTCCTGCCAGGGTGGCTGTGCCCTGTGGTTGCCTCTGGCTGGGCACTGCTCCTGTTTGCTCTCACACACACCACCCTCTCCCCCACCAGCTCAAGGCTCCATCACCTTTGGGAGATGTCAGAGTTTTCTGGCCGGCCCTACCTTCTTCTTTTGGTTTTTTGTTCTTGTCTTTGCCTTTTTTCTCATCCTGTGGAGAGAGACATTTCCACAGTTAGGCTGTGCTGAAATCCAGTGCCCTCATTCAGTCCTGTGATAGCCATCACCATTGGGGTGCTGTCACTGGGATATACAGGGCAGAGGAAAGAGGTGAGGGGGAGCAGGAGCACAGCAGAGTGGCTGCTCTGAGAAGAGAATCCAGGAAATAGAAACTGTTGGCACAGCTGGTATGTGCTGCCATGCTGAAAGACAGCACCAGAGGAAGCACGAGTGGTTGCTTTCACATTCTCAAATGGAAAAATAAACTCATATATTTTCCTAAGCCCATAAAAAGCAGCAGTATTGCTTGCTAATATCAGTTAAATAACCATGCCAGCAGGGATGGATGGTAGTTAGGCAGGGCTATTTCAGCCCTATTTTAGGGAGGGGAGAACTGAGGGATGGATGGGTGGAGGGATGGATGGGATGCCCAGGCCAGTGAGGACAGAGCAGGCTGCAGGGCAGGACATGCTGAACCCCAACCTGCAGCACTGCCTGCCCCTGGCAGCCCTGCCTCATTCCCCTGTCCAAGGACATGTTCCTTACCTTCTCCTCTGGAACTGGTGATTCTGGTGGTTTCTCAGTGATCAGGACCCCAAAGTCACACACAGTTGCCACCAGGTCCTCAGTGGCCAGCAGGGCCTCCAAGGTCACCCTGGTGGTGCCCAGGGTGCTCAGAATGGGAGGGTCACTGCGGAGTTCACGTGGCAGCTGCTGCTGCTGCTTCTTTTTCTTGTCCCTGGAGGCAGGAGGCTGCAGGACACCAGCACAGGGACAGGTCTCATCAGAGGGATGGAGTCCCTTTATCAGAGAGAAGCAACCCCAACCCAGCCCCTTGCCCACCACTGCATCCAGGCCAAGATGTGTGTAAACAGCTGCTGCCTTCCTCCCTTGGCAAGGGGGGACTTTGGGAGAGGTCTGGGATGGAGGGATGACTCTCTGACACACCAAACTAATCCAGGAAGAGGGCCCTTGTTCTTTCATCACCATTTTTGCAACTCAGATATAATTTGGCCATTGTTCTCTCCTAGCACCCTACCTTGGCACTGTCCTGTCGTTCCTTCTTATTCATGACTGAGTTTTCTTCTGGGTCAGCATCTACAGGCCATGAGAGCACCTGCCCGGAGAGAGGAGCTGCTGCCGCAGGGGCTGGGGGGGCCCAGGGTCACTGCCATCCCAGCCTGCCTCCCAGAGGGAACATGATACCACTGCTGGGCCTCCCAGCAGCACTTTCCCCTTCATCCAGCTCTGCCACACACTCACCTTCTCCTCCACAACCGACACAATTGTTCCAGCTGCCAGGTAGGACTTCAGCCCCACCAAGTCCTTGGCGATGTGCTCCTTTGTGTAGCTGCAGTCGATGGTGTCTGCCCAGGGCTTTCCAGGGGTGACAAACACCTTTGCTGTGTAGGGACACAAAAAAGTTCTGAGGAGACCTTTCCTTCAACTGGTGCCAGTTCATTATCCATCAGTCCCAAGCTGACACTGCAATGGACGTGCTGATGCCACCACATGCCAGGAAGAGCCATAAACTCGCTCTGAGTGCTGGGACCGGGGATTTATAATTCCTCATTACCAGAGCGAGCCTTTGTCTCCTCCATGGCTGCAGGGTCCTGCTGGTTCTTTGTTTCTCCTGTGTCCTGAGCAGAGCTGTCCACATCCAGCATGGTCACCATGGAACTCTGGTGGGTTTTTGTTACCTGGGACAGAGAGGGATCTCTTGTCTGGTTTTGTTTGCACTGGGACCAGGGGACAGCTGCCCCTGAAATCCCATTCGCCAGCCCACTCTCATGGGAAAGAGGGCACCAGTGCCAGGGAAGGGGTCTGCCACAGCCAGCAGGAGGGGGGCTATGAGAGTATTCCCATGTGCAGAGCTCTGGGCTCTCCAAGAGGGACAGGGAACATGGGCAGCAAGGATTTGTCCTGCCAGATGCAGCCCCATGGGAATTCTGTCCCCAGTACTGCTGCTGCCCCTGTCACATCCATCACTCCATAGCCTGGAGATGGATTCTCCCTTGCTGTGACCTCCTGGGCCTGTTGGCTTTCAGGAGCACAATTAAGGACCAACCTCAGTGTTGCTCTCATCCTCGAGCTCCTCTCCCTCCTCTCCCTCTGCAAACTCGTAGGTGACAAAGTAGCTGCAGGTGATCACTGGGGCCTCGGAGTCAACATCCAGCTGCTGGAGAGCACTGGGATCAGGGACTCCCTTCATCTCCCCAACAGTCACAACCACTCGAGCTTCACTCCTGCTTAGTTCTAAAAGAGAGACAATCTTGCCATGGAGCTGCAGCACGTTCTTTCCAGAGTGAGGAAGGAAAAGAGCAAGCAGAAACCTCTCAGTCACAGTGTCCCCTCCG